AATAATAATAATAATAATAATAATAATAATAATAATAATAATAATAATATCTTCAGTGGGTCTGATATCGATGCAATGTGTGACAGGCACTTCCTGACCCTTTGTTAAAGGGTCGTGCTGTCTATCCCCCTCGGACAGAAATCCCACCAAAAGGAGCAACCGTCCGTTTCTATTCTCGATCCAGTCTTGTGATAGATTACTTAGGGCATTTCAAACTAAATTATGGTTAGTCTGTAGCGTGCAGATATGATTTCCATTCATTTAAAAAAGGATGGTAAACTTACGCAGGTGCTATGCGGTGAACTGCTTGCAAACCTGCTGGGGTTGTATGGTTTTGGCATAATATTTTCACATTCCAACTGGAGAAAGTTTGAGTAAAATTAATTTATGTTGATAGTATTGTAAAAAACCGCTTCAGTGTTTCTGTTTAAAGAACTAATAATTATTTGCATGATTCTTCTTATAAAAAAAACATCGGTATATTGCGACTGACATAAAAAGCGTGATAAAAGTGAAGAGATATTTGCATTTTGTGGTTGTGAGCTGCCAGTTTACCTTCGACGCGTGTAGCCTGTCTATTAATTCTTCTCAGATAACTAATTTCAATATATTCACATACTTTTCGACATGATTTGTGTCAATTCTTCCAGCATTGTTTTAAGAATCAAAAACTAAACAAATTAATCACTCATTAAAATTATCACTGATGCGTAATTTTACAAGAATTATACTTGTTCCAAATACCGTATCATTTCAGTTAATACAAATGTGGTATTTTTACTTAAGGTATATCTTTGTATATTTAGTATATTTTGTACATTTTTGTATATTGTTTAATTAGTAAGTATATTTTTGTGTAAAGGTAAACAGAAACTGTATATAGATTGAAAAATAAGCTCAAGTAAGTATACTTGTGCCCTGATGTAAATAGAAGAGACTCCTAAGTCCTTATGTAATTTATGTATCGTAATAATAACTTCTGAAAGACCGGAGTGCTGAACGGGCAAGAAATAAAATGAAATAAAAAATTTCATTCATTCTGGACTCTTTCGAAATACTTGTATACCGTGTGGCCACTTAAGATGTTCCCTTCAATTTTCTCCTGAATCGTTGCAGATACTGAGATGCGGTTTTAACTAAAACTACTACATGGAAGGGGCACATAGGTCATGCATAATATTATTCTATTGCATTTTTTATTGCAGAGATATTGACCCAACTTCTATTTTTTAAATGGAACCCTATAGATTTTTAGGCTCATCATAACAAGCGTGAAGAGTCGAGTTCATAAATATGTATATCGTCATATGTTACATAACAAATTTTTCGGGAAATCAAGAGTTTTAAAGACGCACGCCGACTGCTGGTTTCCGTAATCTGAACGAGAAATTCCGGGTGATATGCGGCGAGGCCATTCTCTTCCGTTGCGGCGACCCTGCGGTAAATGTAGTGATGCAAGCGAGAGATCGCCACGAAACTACTGCCTTAGCGATCTCGGCTACCCTGATTGGCTCGTTTCATGTTATGTTTCATTTAATCGCTTATTCTTTCGTTGTAGCAATAATGTGAAATAAATTAACAAGTATCTATACGTTAACAATTCTCGCTTACGGTAGCTCAACAGATAAATCTGTTGTCTGTTAAACTTCTCGACCTGAAATTAGGAAGTTAAAGCAATTATTGCACACTTCAGCCGAGAGAAGTATAATCAAAATACTTTCTATTCAAAATGTTTAATTTTTTTCATGGCAAAATCATTTACAAGATACATATATAGGACCAGCGTAAGTTCATACTGTTGTTCCAGGTTATTATAAATTGCATTTTCTCAAACTATCGTCCCCGTAAAAATGATCACAAAAATTTAACAGATAATTATTTAGTTTGAGTGGTTTCGGACGCGTCAACGGCTAAGATTATTAGTCCCGTAAGTGTAGTTTGTGTTTTCATCGCAGACGATGGCGGTAATCTTCCCCCGCTGGCCTACGTTGGCTAGCAGGGTTTTCCCCAACCATGTATCTCCCACCAGCGGGGCGCAGCCCCAGTCGGGACAATCTCTAAGCTCTCTTCTGACCTTCCGATAAGTCTTATAATGTAGTGTATGCCAATTTATGTAAGATGGAACGACGAAGAAGAAGGAAAGATAGCGTGCAGTCCGAGGCCCGTTTGTTAGTTTTCTGCCCCGGCATTCACCTGGTGTTGATCAGAGAAACCTGGAAAAACTACCGATCAGAACAACCGGCCGCAAGAATTATCCTCCAGACAGCGGCTGAATTCGCCGACCTCGCTGTGTAGTTGAATCTCGAATATCCCGCCACCGTCGGGACTCGAACCCACGGACCTCCCGGTCAGTGCCAATGGAGTCACATCAGTTGAAATCCTGAGCTTCATTGTATAATCCTTTAGTCACTCTATGGAATTATCCTCTATAAATATTCTGTCACGTTTCTCACTTACCATTTCTACTTTGGGAAGGGCCTCGAAATAACGAGCTGGAGGTGGAAATCCAAAGACGGATCACACTGCGCGTGTGTTGGTGCGACACTCCTTGACTTTGACGGTTGGCATGTCCCTTGTTTGGGTTCTCGCCGTGTGCAATCAATCACCGACTGTTAGCGCGTTCTCGCTACTTGCGCAAATCTTCACTGTCACCCGTTTTGTCGGGAGAATGTTCACGTGCAGAACGAAGGCAAATTTTTCGATGACATATTTCGATCAGCGCGTGTTGTCAGGATACAGCAGATGAGCTTTGCTGGAACGGCCAGATCTACACCCAGGGTCGTATGTAGCTGTAAGCGAAAGAACCATAGACGTGCGCAGCCCAAAACAAGAAGGGGGACAAGTCTATTTTTTAACCCCCCGAGTCCCGTTGTCTTTCTTTAATATGACATATTTAACTTGAAAATATAAAAAACGTACTGCACAGAGAATGATATAACACATGATATAATTATCAATAAATGCAATTAACCTTATGAGCGGTTATTTACTTTATTTGCAGGGTTGTCATATGGTTTGGAGAGCCTGTTCCCCAAATGTGAGTCAGTTCCTAAAAATTAGTCGTTAAAAAGGGGGAATATTTTAAATTGATCATTTTTTGCGGAAATCAAAATATTTTATCACGTAGGGTTCTGGGGCCCGTTTCGAAATTTCCAGGAAACACATCGGCTTCCTCTCCCTCTGTTCGCACGCTTAGGAAGATACACATTTGCATAGAGAGAAAGAACCGGAACAGACTAAAATAATATGAGAAAATCATAATATATTTGTATCCTAAAATAATTGTTGATCAATAGAAATTTCTAAAATGTTACTCTGTTATGATTAATATTTTTTAGTAAATGTGAAAGATTTCGTTCGCGAGGGAAGAGAGGGTCAACACAATTTTGTGCAGGACATACCTCCAGAACCAGAATCTATAACTGTCTTTTTCCTGGGAATTTCCTGGGAATTTCCTGAGAATAGAGTAAAATTTCTCCCACAATGTGTAAGGTCGAGTGAAATATTCCTCAACCTTGACCGACAAAAAATTTCGACACTAGCTGGATCAAATTCTGCCGCTGTCTGGAGGAGAATTCTAGAGGCCGGCTGCTCTGATCGTTAGTTTTCCGTGATTTCTCCGGTCAACACCTGGCGAATTCCGGAGAACCCCAATAAACGGGCTTCGGATAGCGCACGATCTTTCCTTCCTGTTGTCCTATCCTTACCCTGTACTTCCACACACTTACTCGTATGCAACACACTACCACACATGCCAGGAGGCTAGTCGGGAACTTTCTTTTTTCGGCTGGGAGCAGTGCTCCACTGGCAGGAGATACCTGGATGAAGGAAACCCCGCAAGCCGACATGTAGGTCGGCGCCGGATTCCGCCATTCAGCGTGGGAGAACACCGCCACGTCCTCATAAAAGCGTGCACTACCCTTACGGAACTAATGATCACAGTCGTTGACAGGAAGTAAAACACGAAATAATTAGTCAATCTATTAAATTATGAACTAAAAACATATCAACGAGCGTTGTTGATTTTGAATGGTATTTCGCTCTCGTTAAATAGAAACTATTTTCGTCAAACTACAGTTTTGACTGTACAGAGCTTCCTTCAAAATAACCAAACTTCCACTGCTCTCGCGTTTAGCGAAATGAGAGGTCAAGAAAATGTGCGTAAATAATAATGTCCACGGCTGAAGTGAAGATCGTTAGATTTGAAGCGGTGTAAGGCTTCGGTCGGACAAACGCTCAGAACAGCAATAAAGTTTTATGGTGAACGATAAACATAACCATTGTTTTTATCGTGTTAACTCCATCAGGGCTGTTTATTTATGAGGCTCTCTTGTAATTTAAAATGTACACTCTATTACGATGAAAAGAAACGGGATCTACCAACTGGACAGATGTTTCAACGATGGTTTCGAGATTTTCTTACGTGGTATATCGGCGGTAAACGTTTTAATTGGCTGAATGTGTTCGTATTTAGGTAAAGGTTACCAGCTGCGGTAGCATCACAGCAACATCGGTGCCTCTGCAGCTTTGTTGAACGGTCATTCACGCGGCCTCGGATATCCCGCAGTTTTTCCTTCTTAGTTCTTGTTCCCTGGTTTCCCCATTTTACACACACACACACACACACACACACACATTTTAAAAACAAAATCATTTATTTTATGTCGCATCAACTGCATAAGGTTATTGGCGACATCTACACAATAACATTATTATTTTTGTACGTGGAATGTTTTGATACTTAGGATGGAAACATTCCTTTCACATTATTGACCAGTTTATACATTTTTCTTATATATCAATGTACAATTTTTTGCGCTTCCAAAAATCGAGAACCGACTGCATTGTTCATTGTCCTTGAATACTTTTGCCATGTCGTTATTAACACAATGTCTCGTTCGGTAGGCCTAAAACTTGGGGCATAGAAATATGTTGTGTGTGTGTGTGTGTGTGTGTGTGTGTGTGTGTGTGTGTGTGTGTGAACAGCAGTTTTCCCGGTGATGAGATGGGCATGTGTGAGCTTGATGTCACCTAAAGTGCATCCAGTTAACACAACCTGGTCAGCTCTGCAGAAGGTTGTGGCTGGATTATAATTCTGGTATTCGCATATACTTATTAAACTGCAGTTCTCTTGATGCTACAGTGAGAGTCCTGCAGCGTTATGGTTGCTTCTTTCACAAAGTTGTGAGCCCTCTTTTGCAGAGCTGTCTGCCAGCTCATTCCCTCTGTCACACATTTAAATTCTCTGTATTACAAAATGCCGCTCACTTCGAACGTGTGGCGAGGGGGGCGGTGCCTTGCCGGGCGAGATACCTGGAAGACATCTCTGCGAACAGAAGTGTCAATCGGCGCCATTATTTCACGTTTCAGAGGGGATCAACACGGTCTCCTCCCAGGGTTCATTATGTACTACGATTACGGGACTAAAGCAACGGTGTCCAACTTGCACGGTTCCAGTGACCACAACCAAGACCTTTAATATGGTTTGGGCCAGATTTCCATTACTCGGGTGATCCACACCCCGAATTGTTGATCTCTGGAGTTTGCCTGGCTGTTCAAATGGGATTCCGTTCCCCAGAGTGATAACAATATGGATAACGCAGTGAAACACATTGGGATTATTTTGGATTGATTGGATGATGTTGACTCGTACGATCTTCGAAAATCCTCTTTGTATCGTTTCCTGTACCAGCCTCTTTATATTTGAAAATGTATATGTGTGAAAATTTTAATAAGATGAAAATGAAAATGTCAATGATATTTTATAAAACATCTCTAATTCCTTTCCTGTCTTAAAAGTAAATTTTCTTAACGATAACAAATTTGGCTAGTACATTTTTGTCTGAATCGGAGTAAGTTGAGGCATTGTTTTAAACGTTATTGAATGCGTTATACAAATCAGAGAAATTCTGCCCTCTCACAACTATTTGTTTATTATGGGAAAATGTCAACTACTCTGAAATTGCATGTACAATACCAGTACTATTTTACGAGCATATGAAACAACTTTGTGCCGCATACCTCTGTTCTGCCATTAGTTTTGTCACATATTTTCCTTGTTTTTAATTTGTTTACCCTACATCACCGTATAACGTTTAAATTATATTTCGTAAATAATATAGTACAAATTGCAATTTATTTGCCCAATATTTATCATGCACTTTTCTTAAAATCTGTCTTCTTGATTGGTCCGATATTTTATTACAGTTTATTAATGATTAACTTGGCTTTTATAGACGAGTTGAAAATATACCTATCGCATTAGAATTCCCTCTAATTCTTTGTGTCGCCATCGTTTCTTTTCATTCAGAAAAAGGATCGTGTTTATTGAAATGAACTTTTTTCTTGCCTTGCAGGTAGATTTGCATCGTGCCATCTTCCTTCTTCAACCAGACTGCACCTATGAATACACTGACTGCGTGAATGCAAGTGTTGTCTCAAGACAAGTTTTAGTAAGTGACGATGTACAGCTGTGTTCCAGAGCAAGGAAATGGGATTTGCCGTCTTATATGCTAATGTCTTTCTTACACACACTAGTATTCTCAGAATTCAATTTATTTATCGTGTAGATGCCAAATTTATTTTAAATTGCAAGATTGTGACTTCATAGTATTGCAATTCACCTTTGTGATAGTGTATGGTTTTGTTATGTAAGTTGTATTCCAATATCTCCTTTGTTGAGAACCATCGTTTGTTGTACAAAACGAATAAATATCATTATCTGATTTTCTATTACTTTCAAATATTTTCCGCACTAATTACAGAATATAAAAACAGAAATTGTTTTATCTATTTCACAAGAAGATCCACCGATTGCTTTACACCGGTCTCTCCCTTAGACTTAACCACAGGCTCAAACGATCAGCTAAACACGGTTGATGATGATTCGAACCGACGAAAGTCGTACACCATGGTCACGAGTATACACTGCCTTCGCGATCTGGGCTAAATTTATATTTATCAATCAGGAATGAAAACAATTTAATTATATACTATTCCATTTAGGATATCTCCGGCTACCAAATTGGTGCAAAAGCTGCGTATGTAAGTTGACCAAAACTTTGGTAACATATATAGCACAGGGCATAAGATTTAAAAAACCCTTAAGGGCTTGAAGTGACTGTAACATCAGAGTATGTTTAAAACTATTGGTGCTAAAACAGATCGAACTTTCTCGCATGTATTTTTCCGCAAAATCACGCGAAAAGTACTCAGATTCTTTTTAAAATTGTACATGACATTACTTGAAAATCAATCCTTTAGAAACAGATTTAATTAAAGAAAAATCTCTTTTTTTAATATTGTACTTGTAAAAAGACTCAAAAAAATTTTGAAACTTTGCAAATTTCAACAAATTTGAGTTTTCAACAAACATGAGACATGCGCCATTCTCTTAAATGTCCTTTACACTATCCAATAACAAAATTTAATCAAAATCGATGGAGACATTTTTTTGAAAAAGTTGAAACTGTGCCAGGAGATTCATGTAAAGTACCCCTCAAAATTAAAATTTCAATTTCAAATACAAGGGGCCGCGACTTTAGCCAGATCAATAATTGATCTTTATCTAATTGGGGAATATGATTTTTGGAGAAAATCGGCAGAATGGTTTAGACGCTTGCGTTGTTCACAGACGGACGGATATCAAAATGTTTTCACGTCATCGACGTTTCGATATCAAGGACCCACAAAACGTGGATTGTGGCTTCACCCCGCGTTAAAGAATTTTTTTTTTAATTTAGCAAGTGGATTTATGCACTCTTTCGTCACCAAGGCGCCCAAATAAGAGGTTTTTTGTCGAAAATTCTCCGTTTTATTACGCAGCATTACAAACCTTTCTCTCTTCTCCGCAGCGAGAAAGCAAAAAGAACCTCGCGTGGCGGAGGTGAGTATGGCGGAAGTGCCTGCACGCGCGGAGGCTGATGGACGAGGCCGAGGGGCCTTCGCAGCGCGGGGGGGGGGGGATGTGCCCGAGGCGGCGCGGCGGCCTTTGTCCCCCGCGACGGTTGCGCCAATCGCCCCAGAGAGCGCTGTAAAATATTTACGCGTGGAAGCGCCACGGAGCCACGAGCACGCTTCCTCGCCAGGGATGCGGCATCGTCAAGCGAACAGCCATGTTTCTGAACATCGATTCTCGAAATTAAATATGGATGTTAATGGAAGATCGACCCCATACCATCAATGTTATTACATATCGATGATTTTAAACCGGGTTAGTAACTTTCAAAATTAATTTGAAAGTGGTATCGTTTATTTGTGTCTAGATTTAACTGACAAAACAAAGTCAAGGAATCATCAGGAAAATTAACAAAACTTGGATTATCTGATTCGATAATGCAAACATTATAGAGGATTAATTATTGACGAAATCTCAATTTTTATCATTTTGCATTCTTGGACACTTTGATCTGAAGAATATTCAATTTATGGATATCGCAAATTTATTATAGAACCGTTTTATGGTGGACTTTTTTCATTTAAAGAATGTCGGCCACGTGAAAAGATACAACACATAACATCGACGTTAAAATCATCTGTTTCAAAAATCGATGTTAGATATAGGAAGATTTTATAAAAACATCGATGTTTTGACAAAATCTACATCAATCACATTCGTATTCCACTCACGTTTTCTAGAGAACTCTCGTTTATATCTTTTATTCATAATGAGTATCAGATGAGTTTAGCTCGGAAGCAGCGTTGCCGCTTGCTTCGCAGTGTCTGACCAGGAGCTTCTACGGTTTGAGTCCTGACGATGAAGGATTTTCGACAGCTTTTCAGGTGTATAGCCAGGTCGAATTCAGCCGCTCTCAGGGGGAGAATTCTAGCGGCTGGCTGCTCTGAACGGTAGTTCTCCGTGGTTTCTCCGATCGACACCAGACGAATGCCGGAGCAGTACTCTAAGGGCGGTATGTACAATGTAAAATCGGCTAAGAGTATTTGCCCCGTAAGTGTAGTGCAAGTTGTTTTTCTTGTGATGTGACGGTGATCCTGCCCCGCTAAATGACGAGGTCCGGCGCCGACCTACCACTTGCGGGGATTTTCCCATTCAGGTATCTCCCACCGCCCTAGCCGGGACAAGCTCTAAGCTCCCTACTGGGGTCCCGACAAGTGTGTTAGAGAAGTGCATTTGAGTGTAATTGTGTAAGTTAAAGAGTGATAAAGAATAAGGAAGAGGAAGGAACTATCGCGCGCGGCCCGACTCCGGCGAGAAAGAAGGTGCCGTTTTAGCTCCACTAGTTTGTCCAGATTCCCTGATCCTTTGAGCAAGTGCTGAGAGGGTCCCTTGTTTTGTTTTTGGACAAAATAATGCTTCATTATGTGTGCATATTTTCTTAGATCTCACTTCGGAATAGTCGTTCAAATAATCCACATCCAGGTAGTAAGAAGTAAGACGGTAGTAATACGTATCCTTCTCGAAGGTCACTATAAGGGATAATTGCTGAAATGTGGAGCTTATTGTCCTTCGTAAATAGTTTGTAGTTCGCGTGTGCGGCTATGTTCTTTCCATTTCTTGCAAAGAACGCTCATTTCCACCTGTATCCATTATTTAATTTGTACACGAGTTATGGTAGAGGCCTCAAAACCCGAGAAAATGTGCACATAATCCACTTCTCCCAATAATACATCACAAAATTTATTAATGGTTTTATGTTAAAATAAATAAATATCTGGTGTAACGTTGGAGTGGGGTGACAGACATTTATTAGGTGCTGGCACTTCAGAATTCAACACTTCCAAAGGCATTTAATTTAATCCAACACATTCGCGACGCAAAGTGCGGTGATTCTTGTGTCCGAAAGTACTTCGTCTCCCTCTCCCTCTCTAGGTTACACCCAGTGATCTCTAGTGTAGTGTGACGTCATGGATACTCACAGCGACCACAGACACAGAGCTTTCGTATAACAATTATATTTTATTAACAAAGAAACAATACAAATATACACTTAATAATCTACTTACACCCTAGCCTCTGAATAGACCTACTATCCCTGATCGCGGGCAGCGATCAAACCCAGATTGAAGATGTTTGATTGGGCATCGCACTCTACTTTGAAGCGCGCACAAAGCCTTAGCTTCCGTGAACAGGATGTCACGCAGGGAACAAAGCCGTTGCTGCGCGCACCAAACGGCTGGTTTGCTCTTGCATCGCAGGATGCGCATCTTAATCGCCCGATTGAGAATCGGCTGTGGAATCGTGGCACTCAACCAACTCTTCACTCGAGCAGCACACAGCATCGCTCCCTCGTGACCGCAGTACCCAAGGACTAAAGTCCCAGGCTCGTCAACTAATGACTCGGCTTCGTACTGGCTCGCATCATGCAACCGTCGTGGCGCGCCAAGCTTTAGTGCCACACGCACGGAGGTTCTACCCACTGTCTCCACAACACCACCCACTAGCCTGGTACACTCTGTTATATAGGCATGCCCACGTAGACCTGAACTACGTCACGCCACCCCCCGCCTTGTCTATAACAGTGAACCCACTTCTATAAGCTCGAAACTCCCAAAGGCCTTGGTCTACCCGTTTCCGCGTCTTCCCTTTACGGAAAAACCCTTCTTCCTGTGGCAAGGTTAATCCTCTGCCAAGCGTCCCCAAATAGATGCCACGGGGCACGCTGGCTAATACGTTACAGTAGACTGGAGGCAACACCCTGTGCTGACACATGTGACGGTCCACCATGGAGGTGAAAGTCTATTCTAACCTCGTTATCTCAGAAACAAATAGCAGGAATTAGCGTCTCATTTCAATTTTTAACTTTTATTATCTTTTATGTTCACTAAAACTTAATAAAATGTTGATAGTAACCTATATGACTTTGAAATTGCAATTTAGCAACAATACTTCAATAAAATCCACTCTTTCATTTTTTGGAGGCTTTTTTTTTATATTTACTCAGGAGAGAGTTCTTGGTTTGCGTATCTTTAAAAATTTCTTTAGAACAAATTACAGCAAATAAGTCGTCAAAAACCCAAAAAATTATTATTAAAGTAATGGCTACCAAATAATATTTCACTTAATAACATTCGCATCCTCTTTACAGTTTATTTCACGTTCTTGTGTACCGAATGCTCCGCAGTCCTTTGTATTTTCGTTATTTTACGAATATTCGTAACCGTTACGACTCGACCCAGAGAGCACCAAAAAGACCGCATGCTCAAGCATCTCTGGTTCAAAGTATGTTGTCGACATGTGTCGCTTTGAATTGATGCGCTCAGGATAACAAAGGCTGATCCCAACCGACCTTGCATTTGAGGTTGAAGTATGGCGGTAAACTGCTGTCATCTACCTAACTTAAGCTGAAATATCAAATGAAATTGGATATGGCAAAATCCGCAAATTCCGGTTTCAAAAATTAGTCTATAGTGAGAGAACGTGAGCGTAAACAGAAAGTTATTTTTCTCCAAACGAACTTCAGTTGGGATCTACCGTTATTATTCTGAGCGTCTGAATTAATTGGAGAAATTCACGAAAATGAACGATCAGAGCACCCAACCTCCAGAATTCTCATATTATAAACGTCGATTTCGCCACTGCTGGAGACGAAAACTCTGCGAACCAATGGTGTCGCTGATTACATAATTTTCTACCCCGAAATAATTACAAAAATAAACAAGAATGGGGTGTCCGACTTTGAAGACCCAGCTGCGGTGCACCGACTGCACGAGTTTGCCCCTACCCAGTATTATCGGGTCTCGAACCTAGGACCGGCCAGTCTACGAAGCTCTGTTACGTCTTGCAACTGCATTAATTTATTACCAAGTCCGGTTGATAATGCATTACTAAAGCCTGATACTTTTCTTTTCGATGTCAACAGGTATTCGATGTTTACGATGTAAGTCGACCTTCCTTCTTGTTTCCCAACGCATGATTGTGCATTCAGCTGCAATTCTTGATTACGAAACTCCTTTCCAACTGCGAAGGTTTGTTCACAGCATCATATGGATGAGAAGAAGAAAAAGTTATTAACGAGCATCAGATGACAAATAACTATTGAGTTTCTAAGAAATGTCACAATTACTTCTAAATTTATTCCTTTATTTGAAATTGA